CATTTCTATGCTGAATGAAACTGAATGAATTGAAAGAGCATCTAATAAAGAGTGTCTCTGTGATCTGTTATTGTAACCACTAGATGGCAATATCACTGTTTCAGAGATTAAATTCTCCCAGGCTTTGAGAGCGACATGAACAGAAGCCTAAGTAAGCTGTGAAAGAAGTCTAAACTAACAAACCAGTAACTCAGTATCTGCCTTTAGATCTTGCCATAAGCCATTTCATGAATGGTTTATTATTTATACAGGATTATGGAACTCCTATTATTATACAGTATTGCATACCATGAAAATAATTCTCATATAAAGTACTTCACACTATTAATAACAGGTACAGATTATGAAATAAAATTGATTCGTAGTGAAAATTGAAAAATGATTGCACCGATCATTCTGAGGACAGTGACATTTCTTGTGGGAATCCATGAATCATACTGTAGAAAAACTCTCTTTGTGTTTCAGCTTTTATAAACTTGACCTACACACACACATGTGGCAATATGCCCCATTTGAAACAATAACTGTCTCAGGCAATCTGGACTGCATTATACTGCTCCCTGTCTGTTGCTGGCTTTTTTTCCCCCAACTCTTTGTCTCTCCCACTCTCTCCTGTCTTATCTGCTTTCTCTTTCAGCTGGTCATATTCTTTTCATTAATACACCGTTCCCACAATGCATTGCTGCCTGGCGAATGTTTCACAGTTAGGGGCATTGGTGTGCATGCACGTAAGCCTGCATGTAATTTTTTGTGAAGCCAAAAGTTTCCTTTTGGTCAGATGATAAGCAGTTTTGATTTTGTGGATAAAACATTTAGAAATCAAATCTAATCTAATTTGCACACATCAGCATACATTTGTGGAATGTACACTCCTGGGCAAAAAAACAAAAAAAACGCCAAGCTCAAAATGGCAAGATATTAAGATTTTAATGGTCTTAACAACAAATCATTGATCAGGAAAATAGCAAGAATTAAACAAATAGATAAAAGAACTTAGCATTCAATAGCTTTTCCCTTTGACTTCTTTAAATGCTGAAGCCTTGTGGCCCTTGATGGCTGCATCAGGTGTGGCAGATAACCAAATAATGACTAATCTTTTAAGAAAAAAAAACCATCCCAGAAGATCTTTTTGGAAAAATTTTTATGCCCAGACATGTTAGTTTGAATTTTACATCAAAAGTAAACGAGCAAACGGTGGCACAGGAGCTCTCCAGAGTGCATCTGTTTAATTCTTGCTAATTTTCTGACCAGTGTTTTTTTTTTTTTGTTAAGACCATTAAAAGCTTAATATTTGCCATTTTGGGCTTGGCTATATATTTGTAGCCAGTCTTTGCATCTGCATCCGTTTATACCTACTGAGTATTAGAAACACTTAATGACTAGAAAAGCCAAGCAGGAGGAGAGAGAGAGATACTGAGAGTCAATTGATGCTTGATAGAAATGTTGTACCTTATTCATGTGGGCAAACAGCCAGGTACACTTCTCTCACCATGTGATGACAGCCATCCTCACAACCTTGGAGGATGTACTTTTTTAAAATACAGCCTGTGGAGAAATACTTTACCGTAAGTGTGCACATTCAATTGTGTATACATGTTTGTATATGTTAAAGACCTGGCTGTACACTCACACACTATTCGGAGTTCCTACCCCCTTCTGCTTGTAGAATGCTGTCCCTGTAATTGATACCAGACTGGCTGTTTGAGTTGCCAAGAGCGATCTATACAAGCTTACAGACAAAGATTCTACCATTTCCAGATGGGGAAGGCACACAGGAGTTCATTATACATATATATATATATATATATATATATATATATATATATATATATATATATATATATATATATATTAATTTTCCTTTCCAAATAAAGAAGCATATATCAAACTGCATAGCGCTTAAAGTCTGTTACTGCAGATAAGGTGGACAGAGAGAAGTAGAATGATTTCCTTAGAATGATTTGTTTACTCGTTTGTTTTTGTGTGTGTTGTGCTCCTAATGGCTAAGAAAAGCATTTCCTTCTGATGTCATTTCAATGACATCAGTGTCATTTAGACCTTACTGCGTTAAATGTAGTCTGGTTCTCATTGAGAGGGAGAGCATTGGGTGCATGCCCTTTCAGTGGCTCTGATAAGCAGATTGAAGAGATCCATCCAGTTTGGGAAGCTCTAAATTTCCAGTTGACTGCAAACAACTGTGATAGGAGCTTATAAGAGCTTATCTTATATTGTATTATCTTATTATCTTGTATTTTAATAGTCTACAGACTGGCAGTCGTTCAATATGCGTTCAACATTACCTCATCATGCTCATACGTAAAGACCAGTAGACAATCAGGGTACTATCTAAGCCTGCTTCACATGTCCATAAAGTGCTTAAGGAACTGCACAGTAACTCTTTTAAGAGACTGTTGGCCAACAGCAGGAAGCAGTCTTTTCCACTCTGTTCCACTCTCTCTGTTCTAACAACCACTAGAGACGGGCTTAAAGCACATGGCCAGGAACAGCGGCCCTATCATCTGCCTCTTTCATGCTGAGCTGGCCTTGATATGTCCAGAGAATGCAGCTGCCTGGCCAGGAGGGAGAGTGGAGAAGGCCAGTGTGAGGATGTCTTTAAAGGTCTTTTCTTCATATTTCTTTCAGGTTGCAGCTGGAGTTCTACTTTCCCTGGTTATTTTACCCCTTTAGCCATGTAATCAAGAGAAACAAGACCAGATCGTAAAGCCTATTTGGGCATAGTTGGGAACTGGTTTCGAGGCTGATATAAAATCATATAAATAAAACTGAATGCTGGCTTGGAATGACACAAGATTATGGGCCTAATGTTGAAGAAATAAGAAAAAGATCTTAGATGCCTTTCCTTTTGAATAAGAGCAGACCCATGGTGCTCCTGCGGTTTTGTAAACACAGCTCCTGAGCAGGCCAGTGAGAGTGCAAAAATGTGTAAAGAATGTGCCAAAGGTCAAGTGTGCTGTCTGGCCTTTCATCAAATGTTTACAATTGTATCGTTCTGGTAGGAGCTCCCAGTGTTGAGCCACCAACTGCAAATTGATCCGTCTCATGGCTGGATAAAACATGTCAAGTCCCCAACAGAAGAATATCCAATTCTGGATTTGTCTGCTATTTCAGAAAAGATCTGGCATGCATGAGATCCTGTCATATAATGTGCATGAAGAAAGACCTTTTTTTTTTTTTTTTTTAATATCCCCCTCCCTTCAGTTTCTGTTTACATGGCATGGAAAAACAAAGAAGCCTGTCAGGAGCCACCTGCTCATGGAGCATTGTGGGTAAGCACTTCCGTGCACTTAAACAGCTGAAGCAGAGCTGTTAAGGGAATGGTCCTCAGGCAGTCTTTCCCTCCG